CATATCTAATCACGATGGACCGAATAAGCCGACATTAGGTTATTCATCTCACTGGGCTGACATCACTGTAAGACATCACGATGGGCCGGATGGGCTGGCATCGCCGTTAGCTATCACGATAGGCCCGGATGGGCTAACATTACCGTTATCCATCACAATGGGCTGGCATCACTGTTATCCATCGCGATGGGCCCGGATGGGCTAACATTACCGTTATCCATCACAATGGGCTGGCATCACTGTTATCCATCACGATGGGCTGGCATCACTGTTGCCCATTGCGGCCGGGCTGGCATCGCCGTTGCCCATCGCAGCCAGGCTGGCATCACTGTTGCCCATCGCGGCCGGGCTGGCATCACCGTTGCCTATCGCGGCCGGGCTGGCATCGCCGTTGCCCATCGCGATGGGCCCGGATGGGCTGGCATCACTGTTGCCCATCACGGCCAGGCTGGCATCACTGTTGCCCATCGCGATGGGCCCGGATGGGCTGGCATCGCCGTTATCTATCACGATAGGCCCGGGTGGGCTAACATTACCGTTATCCATCACAATGGGCTGGCATCCCTGTTATCCATCACGATGGGCTGGCATCATTATTATCCATCGATAGGCCTGGCCGGGCTAGCATAAAGCCAATATTCACTTTGTGTGTTTTCAGCGCACGGACTAAAAAATAGGTTTTGGACGCTGCCAACGCAACAGACTGTATTGATGACAGAATATGGGCTGTTAAGCGCCTGTATGTTAGCAACCCATAATATATCATAAACCAAGCATAACTTCACGCATATTCTCTCCTAAGCAATAAAGGTCGTCTGGTAATAAGTTCTGTCCCTCCGTACGCACTAATTGTCTAAACTAGGTAAGGCTAAAACGCATAATGCACGTGCTTAGTTCTAACTTACTATTGTTCACGCTGTAGCTTGTGCTGTTGTTGGCGCCTTTATTGGCGAACTGCTTAGCAGGTTTAGAACTGTGCTTTACTTACCTGCTCTTGAGAATGTGCACCTCCTAGGACGTTATGCTCTGCCCTTTAGGTTGCCGCTCCTCTATATAACGCTTAATTATACTAGATAAATCTAAGCGCTTAGGTAATAACTATAGCATAATATTAAACTTAATACTAAGCCTTAGCTAACTAGGGGCCTATTAATAGTAATAGTAATAATAGTAATAATAGTAGTAATAGTAATAATAGTATTAGCTAGCTTTTTAGTTTTAGTTACCTTAGTAGAGATATTATAAATAAAGATAAGACTTACTAAGTTATTAATACCTATTACTATAACTGCCTATCCTCCCTAGACTACTTCTAACTCTAATCTCTATAACAAACTTAGGACTTTTATCCTTATCCCTTAAAGATTAGAAAAAGGTATATAATATTTTCTACTAATATATATAGTAACAATAATTATATCTTAAATGCTAGCTTAGCTTAGTCCTCCTAGTAGTTGGCCCTAA